CAGCGTAGGGTGATGGCGTTTGGTCTCCTGCGAGGGGTTTCGGGGCAGAACAGCTCCGTTTTGGGCAATTTATGGAGCCGGCAGGGGATTTAATCGGGGTCGTCTTTGTCCCCTCAGCTCATCCTCTTCGGGCTCAGCAACCAGATGGTGGTGACGTTCAAGGAGGAGAACACGGTCGCCTTCAAGCACCTCTTCCTGAAGGACTACGTGGACGGGGCGGAAGAGTCCTACGCCGTCTACACCCAACGCGACCTCTACGACCGCATGTTTTACGCCGTGGAGAAGGTGCGTTCCGCGGGCGGAGAGGGGCTCCCCGCTGTCGGAAGGGGCTCCGGGCCGCCTCCAGCTCCTGAGGGCATCTCCTTCTCCAGTATTTGGCCGTTCCCAACGAGACCATCGGGCGTTACGCCTACGTGCGAGGGGAGAGCGGAGGGAACCGGTCAGCCCTCATGCTCTGCCAGCAGTATTACCGTAAAGGACGCATCGACCCGGCCAACGACACCTTCAACATCGACCCCAAAATTGTCACAGGTGGGTTTGGGGGACGGTGGGGGCTGAGATTTCCTTCTCCCACAGCCACCCCTGGATCCTGGGGAGGTTTTTGGTCCTTGTTTTTGAGCTTGAGAGGGTCCGAGGGGTCTACGTGGGGCCTTGGGCGTCCCTGAAGGCGCTTCTCCCACCCCGCAGACTGCCTGGGAGTGGACCCCGAGGACCCCCAGCCTCTTCCCCCAGAGCTGGAGCGCAGCTACAAGAACTTCACCCTCAAATTTCACAAGTAACCGCCGCGAGTTTCACGAGTAAAACCTTCCCCACGGTCTGGGATGTCCCAGCGTTTGGGTGCTGGGGACATCCTGCGGGTGAGGGTGGAGCGGGGACCCCCAGCGTGGGGACTTCCTCGCGCCGAAGCCTGCTGTCGGCATGGAAAAGCCCCCTGTCCCCTCCCCCTTGGTTTTAAAAACCACTTGTGGGACAGAAACAAATCCACCCTCGTGCCGGGGGAGATGTGAAACCGATGAGGTTGCACAACCGAGCAGCTGCTTTCCGGCCCCGTCTCCGTCGGCCCCGTGGTGCCTCAACTGGCCTGCAACACCCACCTCGGGAGTTGTTTTCCCTTCCCCAAAATCCCTACGCTGCCTGTCGGCGGTGTCGTAACAGCCCGGGGCCCTGCCCCGCCGGGGCGGGCACGTTGGTGGGCGGCGGCAGCCCCGTCTTCTTGCCGGTGCGTGGCTGAAGGATGCCGAGAGCTGTAGCTGGTGGGACTGTTGCTTCCGGAGGGTCCAACCTCCCCCTCGAAGCAAAATTCAGCGATGCTGGGGCATGTTGGCAGTGGTTTGCTCCTCTGAAGCTGGAGACACCCTTTCCTGGGGCTGTAGGCACCCCCAGGGAGGGTGTTTACCCCCTCTGAAGCTGGAGACACCCTTTTCTGGGGCTCTAGGCACACCCAAGGAGGGTGTTTACCCCCTCACTGTCAGTTGTTTGACTCTTGGTGCTGTTTTTTGGGGGTTCAGAGGTGCCTGTGTGGGCTGAGACACACTGGAGAAGCCGCAGGAGGAGGATTAACGCGTGTCCCCTCCCGCAGACTCATCAACGTCACCATCCAGTTCAAGCTGAAAGCTATCAACATCCAGACCATCATCAACAACGAGATCCCCGACTGTTACACCTTCACCATCACCGTGAGTGCTCGGGGAGTGGGGTCCGGAGGGCCGGCAACGGCCCTCACGGGCACGTGGGACCAGGCACCGGCAACGTCACGACAGCGAGGAGCTGCCGGATGGGTTTATGGGTGGTGAGGGTCCCCCTTTTCTCCCCAGATCACGTTTGACAACAAGGCGCACAGCGGCCGGGTGAAAATCCACCTCCACAACCAGGCTGACATCAAGGAGTGCAAAGATCCCAGCGTTTTCGGCCGAGGTGCGACCCGCGAGCGCGTGACCGAGGTGGCATCCGTCCCCAGCGCGTGCCCAAGGGCTGCGGGGGGGTGGGCTCCGGGCGCTCCCGAGCGGCTGTCCTGCTCCCGATGG